ACTCGCTGTACTTGTAATTGGGCTTGGGAAAGCTCAAACCCACTATAGTTGTCTTGCAACTTGCGGATCGATCAGGTAAGCAACCGCGTGGGATCATTAAGGATATCATCATTAAAGTTGACAAATACTACTTCCCAGTAGATTACTTAGTTCTTAATACAGAACTGGTGTACAACCCAAAAAGTCACATTCCTGTGATCCTTGGTTGTCCATTCTTAGCCACGGTTAATGCTTGAATAAATTGTAGAACCAGGGTCATGGACATATCTTTCGGGAGCATGAAAGTCAAGCTTTATGTCTTCAATGCGTCTCAACATCCTCTAGATGAAAGTGAGTGTTTCTTTCTTGATGTCATAGATGAAATTGTTGAGGATTCTCTCCCATTACTTTTAACATAAGACCCTCTAGAGACATGCTTAACTAATTTTGGCATTGATAATTTTGACATGGAACACTCCATTCGTGAGGTTAATGCCTTGCTTGATACGGTGGCAACCATGGATGTTCCACCCTGGAAATTGCCAAAAGAATCTTTTTTTCTCATCTCTAGTACTCTTCCAATTCCTTCCATTATGTCTCCGCCTAAGCTTGAACTTAAACCATTATCAGACAAACTAAAATATGCATTATTGGGCTCCAATGAAACTCTCCCGGTAATGATGGAGGCACCACTATCAACCACCCAACTAACATCTTGACAAGTGAGGTTGACAACATCTTCATCACAGATAACAAGAATGTCTTCAGAAATGGCTACAACAGTTTCTTGATACTACACCTTTTTGTCTCCCTATTTTTTCTGTTGCTCTTTCTTTAATTTTCTGCATTCTTTTTTCATGTTACCTATCTTTTTGCAATGATAGCACTGAATGTCTTTTTTATTCTTGGATTTGCTCTTTGACTTGCCACGATGTTTGTGACATTTATTCTAACTTCTACCCAGTTGTTCTGTAATAAGAGCCTCTGATTGTGTGGATGAAACACCCAAGGCTTTCCTTTTTTTTTCTTCATTTAATAGGCTGCTTTTGACCGAACTCATAAAAACAATCCCATATGGGGCTGAGTTGTTTAGAAATACTACAAGTGTCTCCTAACTGTCTGACAAAGAACTGAGAAGTAACAAGGCCTGCAACTCATCATCAAGAGTAAATTTCATGGAAGCCTCCTCATCAGAAAGGCTTTATTTGCAGTTGTTTTCCTTTCATATAGCTCCTCCAACTTTTTCCAAAGAGAGTGGGTTAAAGTCTCATTAGATATGTGATGATAAGCATTATCATCCACCCATTGGCAACAAATCTCAATCTTCTTTATTAATTTCTACAATAAAGAAAATCCTCCATTTTTCCTTTCCACAATTGCCAATTGCTGCCATTCAAATTGATCATTCTACTTATATTAACCTCTATGTCTACACAAGCCAAATTCTTACCAACCTAGGGCTCTGATACCACTTTGTTGGGGAAAATAACAGGGTAATGCAACAAACACAATACCCAAACCAAATGCGGAAATCCTAGAACTAAACCTTTCTTCATTGGGCTCTCCACATAAGAGGGAACAAGCCCAACAAAATTTATGATAAGTACTCAACATTCAACAAGATTTATTTATCATTTTTATTTATTTATTATTTTTCTTTTTTACTAAACTGGATTGCATATGTTACTTATTATTGAAGTAAGTTTTTAAAATTAGATATTTTACAGCCAATTTGCTTCCATATGTGTATGTGAAGGTTCTTTATATTCTTGCATGTCCACTACAGAGTCCAGACATATAAGCAATTGAAATGATTTTAAAACCTTAATCATGATGTAAAACCTCTGTAAAGTAGTAAACATATATAATCGAACAATTAGATAAATATACAATTTATACAGTAGCAATTAGGAACATCAAACAAACATTTGTGATTATGAACTTGGTAGCAGGTAGGAACATTAGAATGAGCGTGGCTACCACCCACCATCACATGCTAAATAGAAGCTTAGAACCGAACTAGATCATTAACGGCTATTTCTCCATTTGATTCTAATCTTTATTAAAAAAAGGAAACATATATGATGTGAAAGTTACTTTCTTCATTAAAAAGGAAAGGAAAGAGAAGAATAATAAATATAGCCAAGACAATTTACAACCGAATATTTTGATAATCCACAACTGGCATTGTTGTAAATTGATCTTACTAATATCCAATCCTCTTTATAGTAGTACTATAATAGGATACCAACATACTTGGTTTAATTTATACCATACTGTTGGGCAACGGAAGCGTGCAAATAAATATAGATCCAAAGAAAGCCAATAAAGCAATCACACAAAAATACAAGATATTCATGGTTCACCTAAATTTAAGGTTACATCATGAATAAGAAGAGATTCCACTATGATTCGTAGAGACATTACAACAATAGAGTACCGACACCCCGTACATGCCTTTTTACCATGTACCACTCCACAAGCCCAATACCCCGCTATCAATGTTGGCGGTGTTTTCCTACTTTACTATCCTATAAACTACCTCCATACATCAACTCCTTAGATCTCTCATTTTTACAAGTCTCAACTCAAAGCCTATATATCTATTTATAGAGTTCCAAACCTAATTTCTTGTTGAACAAGGATTACAATTTTTTATATGGCAAAACTTGCCAAACAATAAATTACCAAACAGGAATTTAAAATAGAAACATAATTAGAATAGAAGTTTAAGACACAAATTCCAACCAATACCATGCGTACGCATACTTTCTTTTTTATTAGGCCACCATATCTGGAGAGGATGTAATAAACAAACTCCAATGATCTCACATGTGAATGTCCGTCTACTCATATCTACCTATTTATATATATATATACACACACGCACACATATATACAATAGCACTTGTTAGGCTCTAAATGTTATACATTTTAGCCCCTTTACTTACATGTGTTGTTATCTTAATAGTAGTTTATTTGAGATTTTACATTGTTTTATTGTTTTTATTTATTTCAGGGCTTTAATTGTAAAATCAGTCAAGACTAGTGATTTTGAGCTTTAATAGATGACATTCCATGGGACCGAGCAATGTTGAAGATCCAAGTCTAATTATACTTAGAAAATAGTCCAAAAGAAGCCACAAGTTAATGAGAATGGAAAGAAGAAGAAAAGGAAAAATCTTTCTCCAAAAAGGAAACTTTCGCCAAAGTTAGTAACTTGAACCCATTTGGTAATCTGGCTGTACCTCTAACCTCGAGTGTCAAAATGGCTAAATTCTCGCGCAAATTGAAAGGAAATTCAAATATCTACAATTTTGTATTTCACTAGGATTCTCTAAAACAGCTGTTTACTTTGTCAAAATTGGCCTAGAAATCTATACGAATTTTGAAGTTCTTATTTGACAGAATTTTTATGTATATCTCCTATATGAAAAAGGGAACTTTAGGGCTAATCTTTTATTATTTAAAGGGGGTCCTCTACAACATTGAGGGAGGATACAGAGGAGCTTGAGGCTGAGATCAGAAAGGAGTGTTCAGAAGAATGAAGGATCAATCCATGGCGGTGAAGATGTCTTCCTCAACCATGAAGAATTCCACTCCAGTTATGCTTGGCTAAACGCTTTGCTAGGGTTGTGATGTAGCTCTAGCTTAACACACAGGTTTGATTGTATTTAATTATTGGAGAACAATTTTTATCATGTATGATTGTGTAATCTATAGGGTTTTTAATTGAATTTTCAATAACAATCGGTTTCAGAGTTTTAATTCAATTACAAATATTATTCTATCTTGTCTTAGATATTTTAATCTTGTGATTGAACACAACTCATTCACTTCTTGTAGTTGTGAATGAGATGATTACACAATGGTGTTTCTCTGAATATAATGTTAGAGATTTGATGGATTATGCCTAGAAAAGATAGACCATTCTACACCCTAGAGTAAATAGATAGGTAGATCGTTTATGCCAATCGAAGATAGTCTATGCTTAGCTTTAAATTATATTATTTTCTAGCTGAATTAATATGTGCTTGTAGCCATGATTAATTCCCTGTGCATGTTATATGATATATCTCCAATAAATTGATGCAATTGACTGGTGGTGCGACGTTAGTGGTGAAATCATACCCCTAGTCCTCTCTTTCTATTTTCTACATCCTATTTAATCATTGTTCTTTAGTTTATTTTATTTTTTGATTTAGTTAATTTAGAATTCAACATCACAATTCGATTATCCTACTTTCAAGTTAATTTGAAATTTAAGAAATCTGTTGACAAACTTATTTTACACAAGTCCCTTGGGTAGGACACCTTTACAAGTAAACCCTATCTGCAAAGATTCGTGCACTTGCGAGTGGTATATATAAATCTCACAACAAGTTTTTGGCGCCATTGCAGGGGATTTCTTTTAGTTCTTGACAGATAATATTAAATTCTACAATTAATTTCAATTAGGATCTTAGTTTAAGATTTTATTTATTTATTTTATTTTCTTTATTTTATTTTGATACTGTTTTCTTTTAATTATTGTAGGTGACATTATATGCTTGGAAGACGTTCTTTGTCACTCCATCAACTTCCATTAGACTCAGAAATCGAAAGGACTCTTAGAAACTTGAAGAAAGATTTTAGAGGCTTTAAAAAGGAAAAAATGGCGGATGATCTACCAGTTGCTGAAACAGTTCGTTGTTTAAAGGATTACTACGAACCAGGAGCATACAACTCTTCATCTGCAGTTCGGTATCCTCAAGTGAAGGCCCCTCACTACAAAATTAACTCTTCAATCACTGCCTTCTTTTTACGGCCTATCAAAAGAAGATCCATACCGGCACTTGGATGACTTTGTAGAGGTATGCAGAACAATAAAGATCCAGAGCTTTGACGATGATGTGCTCAAGCTACACCTTTTCTCTTTTTCATTAAAGGACAAGGCGAAGGACTGGTTTAATTCATTGCCAGTAGACTCTATCACTACATGGGCTGAATTGTAACAAAAGTTTTTAAACAAGTACTTCCCCATGGTAAGAACTACTCAATATCGAGATGCTATTACTCGTTTTGCTCAAGGGCCTGACGAGCTTCTTCATGAGGCTTGGGAAAGATTCGGAGACCTCATTCGGAAGTGTCCTCAATATGACATGCCAAAATGGCAGCTTGTCAACTTTTTTCATAAGGGGCTCAATGAGGCACAAAGGTATATGGTGGATGCCTCTTGTGGTGAAAATTTTATGTTGAAGAGTGTAGAAGAGGCATGGCAGCTCTTCGAAAATATATCTGATAATTCTACACAACATGTCTTACCTCCAGTAGCAAGACCTCATATCATGTTGAGGAGAGCAGAAAGTGTGAATGAAGCAGGAATAAATCAAGGGCTAGTGAGCCAAATGGAGGCATTAACCAAAAGGATAGATCAATTGATGACTTCACAATCAAATTTTATTCCTCCTTCAACTAATGCTCAAGGCTTTGAAGTATACTCTTTCTGTTCTAGTCCAACTCACCATGTGTCCATTTGTCCAAATGCAGCTCAGTATTCAGGAATTTCACAAGAGCAAGTCAATGCTGCTTATGGAACGCCGGGAGGAGGTAATATGTTTTCAAACACTTACAATCCGGCTTGGAGAAACCATCCAAACTTCTCATGGAGAAATCCAACCACAGGGACATTAGCTCCTCCACCTCAAGTACCTCAGGTGCAAGGTAATTTTCAATCTCCAATTCAGACTTCAAATCCTCAAGGATTCACTCCTATGAATGCCTTCAGTCAACCTCAACAATTCTTATCAATGCTCAAGGCAATGATGGCAAAGTAGTTAGAGCCAACTAATCAACTTGTGCAGTCTCATTCTCAATCCCTTGCCAAGTTAGAGACTCAATTTGGCCAACTAGCTCAAGCCTTAAATAGAAGAGAAGATGGCAAACTTCCTAGTCAACCAGTAGCTAATCCAAGAGGTGTGCGTATAATTGATGACATTACTGGCCAAGAAGTCCACCATGAACAAGTGCAAGCAATTACTACCCTGAGAAGTGGTAAAAGAGTTGAAAACAAGGTGGAAAAAGAGGAAGCAAAGAAGGATGAAAATTGGAAGAAAATACTTGAAGAGAAAAATGAGCATAATGAAAAAGCACAAGAAGTACCTCCAACTACTGAGCCATTTCCTGAACAAAGGCATGTTGTTGTGCCATTCCCTCAGAGACTACAAGAAACATAAAAGGTAGCGAAGCAAGCAAGCAAACTTCAAGACATAATGGAGATGTTCAAACAGGTGAAAATTAATCTCCCATTGCTTGATGTAATTCAACAAATTCCAGCTTACGCTAAATTTCTGAAAGATATATGTACTCAGAAGAGGCGTTCAAGTAGCCATGTTCCTAAAAATGTGCTATTAACTGAGCAAGTCAGTTCCATAATCTAACATTGCACTACTCCAAAATTCAAAGATCCAGGCGCTCCAACAATTTCATGCACAATATGGAATCATCAAGTAGAGCAAGCTCTTTTAGATTTGGGTGCAAGCGTAAACCTTCTTCCTTATTCGGTTTACTTGCAACTCGGATTAAGAGAATTGAAACCTACCTTAATTATTCTCCAATTGGCAGATAGGTCAACCAAGCAACCCCGTGGTGTCATCGAAGTTGTGATCATCAAAGTAGATAAATTCTACTTCCCAGTGGACTTTATTGTGCTAGATACCAAGCCAATTCCAGAGTCAAGGAAGCATATTCCAGTGATCCTTGGTCGTCATTTCCTTGCGACAGCAAATGCAAGCATAAATTGTAGGAATGGCGTCATGGACTTATCTTTTGGCAATATGAAGGTGCGCTTAAATATTTTCAATGCCAGTCAATGCCCTTCAGATGATAAGGATTGTTTTCTGGTCGATACCATCAATGAATGTGTTGAAGAGATGGCCTCATTTGCCTTGACAAAAGTCCACTGGAAACATGCCTATCTTACTTTGATACCGAGTCCTTTGATGTCGACAAAAGCTTTGAAGAGGTGAATGTCATTCTTGATGGGGCCATATGCATAACATTCCACAATAGAAAATTCCTATTGAGCCACTTCTACCATTGTCAAGTGAACCACCTATGTCATCTTTGAAGTGTCCACCAGAGCTAGAGCTGAAGTCGTTACCATCTCATTTAAATTATGCATATCTTGGGCTAGAAAACACTCTTCCATTGCATAATTCATTTCCAGATAAGGAGCTATTTCAACTTCAGAAGGAGACTCCACCATGGTATGCTGATATTATGAATTGGAAGGCATCAAGAAAGAAGACAGTTCAGCCGGATCGGAAGGATTGGTACATTGAAGATTCCGTGCCTACGGAAGGAGTTGAATCCATCAATTTGACAAATCCCATCTACTCTGCCTAATCATCCAGGTACCACGTCGCCTACCGACGTTAAATGTAGGAGTTGTAGATATGATTTTTATTTATTATTTTATTTTATTTATTATTTTATTTTATTTGTGTGTTTTGTTTTAGTAGATTAGGAAGATTTAATGTGTTTGGAAGAATTTTTAGTTACTTGTGCATGATACAAGTTTAAGCGTCGTGCTTGTTTCAAAGAAAATAAAAAAATTCCATGGCATACAAAGAAAAAAAGTTGATTGGAGCAGAACTGAGCATCTTTTGGGGCCAAATGTTAACCAAACTTTGGCAGTTTGCAGCTAGTAGATCTCGAAAAAATTACCAAAATCAAAAAAAAAAAAATCGTCTAGAACGGACCTCCGATGACAAAGTTATGGCCGTTTGAAGTTTGCCTTTAAAAAAAAAAAAAATTTTGGCCAACAGCAGGCCCGGGCGAATGATCGCCCGGGTGGAATTTTCGGAGTAGCACAAGCAGGTCCGGGCGAATGATCGCCCAGCTGAATGGCGATCATCGCCCGGTGATTTTATTTTACGGCGGAAGCGTACCAATCCAGTACCAGTTTCAGCGCCCGGCGAACATCTCCCGACCAGAGAAAAGCGACGAAGAGGAAAGTAGCTGCCGGGCGCTCATTAGCCCGGCAAAACGGCGCCCAGCCAATTTTTCTCGCGACAACAGCTTCAGCCCCAATATATATATATATATATATATATATATATATTCCGGCGATCCCCATAGAAAGCGCCCGGCGAACGATCGCCTGAAATGGTGACGCCTAACTGTCGCAACACCAGATCTTCAGCGCCGGCCAAATAAATTTCCGACAACTGGACATGTGGACAAGCATTAGAGCAGCTGCATAATGGCGACCATCCCCGGCCAAAATTTTTTTTGGCAAACGAAGAAATTTCCAGCGACCACCAATCCAGTAGCAGCGCTGGGCGCTCATTAGCCTGGCTCGACGGCGATTGTTGCCTTAGTTGTCTGTAAAGGATTGAAAAATCAATACTCTGTTCCTACACCAATCCATATCTACCCCACCACTAGTTTACCTCAACCCATTACATCATTACATTCCATATTACCATATTCCATCATTCTTCTAAAATTCATAACCCAAACATCAATCTTCCTAAATTTCTCTACACCACCTTTGTTGCCCAAATTAGCAATCCTTAACCACACCCACTTTCCTTTCTTCCTCCTTCCTCACCATCTTTATATCTCCCTTGTTTATCCCACAAGATTATCCTCCACCATTTTAATTCCATTACCGTTTGTTCATTGCCCATATTGTGTGCCACTTTGGAGAAGAAATCAACATCATTCATGAACTTGGGAACCCCGCCCACCAAGTGTTGAAATTGGGAGCTTTCACCAAATTCCCGATGCTCTGCCGCCTCAATTCCAGATATCCTGTTAAGTGTTTTGGTTCTTTGTTTTTATTTTCTTTTTAGTTATTATTTTTCTTGCTTTTGATTTTTGCCCAATGAGGACACTGTCCAATTCAAGTTTGGAGGCATAGATTCGTACTCTAGTTGTTCTAGTTTTCAAAAAAAAAAAAAAAAAAATCAATTCTTTTTCTTTGGCATATTGACTTTAATTCAAGTATTTGAGAATTGTTAGGGGGTTTAAGACACTTACATACTTTTTAAAATTCTTTTCTGAGATCGTCTTAAATCCCTAATTTTCGTGCTTTATTTTACGTGGGTTCCACTATCTAGTATATGATAAGAATTTTACTAATTGTCAGTCTCCGATGGATTTCACATGCACACTAGAATTTTATCTATGGGTATTTGTATTTTTGGTTGAATTCTGATGACTATGAATGGATATGAATTGGGGAATTTTGAAGGTTATTACTATGGCAGAGATATTAAAAAAAAAAAAAAAAAAAAAAAAAAAAAAAAAAGGAAAGAAAAATAAATAAATTTGGTAACCCTTTCATGGAGTAATCGGGGCTCATGTTTCATATGCATAGAGTGTTCGCATGAAGAAGTGAGGGTAAGGATAAGAAAGAAAAAAGAAAAAGGAAAAAAAATAATAATATTTTGCCATAGAAAAGATCTGAGGAATTAAAGTTATAGAAGTTGGGTTCAATTGAAAAGACAATACTACATAGGTGATTTGCTAGTTCACAAATCTCACAACATTGGGGATTGATTTTTGCTATAATTCTTGTTACACAAGTGGGTGGGAAACATTGGGGTGAAGTATAAAAATAGGGACTAAGGAGTATAGTAAGATGATAATTTTTAAAGTACTTTTGTGTAGTCTTCCTCTTGATTATTGTGATGATATGAGAATAAGTTGATTGCTAAATGATTGAATTGTGTTGTATATTTGTGGGTATCATCTCTGGAAACCCTCACGAGACTTCACTCGTCCACTAGGGGTAACCTAGGGGTTTAAAAGTCTTGTTGTATACGCTAAATGCAATCGTGATTCCCACGAAAGTGGCATTTATGTTTTCTTTAGTTTTATTGCTATGGGACTAGTAATATGTAAGTTTGGGGGTGTGTTAAGCGCTGAATGTTATACATTTTAGCCCCTTTACTTACATGTGTTATTATCTTAATAGTAGTTTATTTGAGAATTTACATTATTTTATTGTTTTTATTTATTTCAGGGCTTTAATTGTAAAATCAGTCAAGACCAGTGATTCTAAGTTTTAACAGATGACATTCTGTGGGACCAAGCAATGTTGAAGATCCAAGTCTAATTATACTTAGAAAATAGTCCAAAAGAAGCCACAAGTTAATGAGAATGGAAAGAAGAAGAAAAGGAAAAATCATTCTCCAAAAAGGAAACTTTCGCCAAAGTTAGTAACTTGAACCCATTTTGGTAATCTGGCTGTATCTCTCACCTCGAGTGTCAAAATGGCTAAATTCCCGTGTGGTTTGAAAGGGAATTCGAAGAGCTATAATTTTGTATTTCACGAGGATTCCCTAAAACAGTTGTTTACCTTGTCAAAATTGGCCTAGAAATTTGTACGAATTTTGGAGTCCTTATTTGACAGAATTTCTATGTATGTCTCCTATTTGAAAAAGGGAACTTTAGGGCTGATCTTTTATTATTTAAAGGGGGTTCTCTACAACATTGAGGGACGATACAAAGGAGCTTGAGGCTGAGATCAGAGAGGAACGTTTAGAAGAAGGAAGGATCAATCCATAGTGGTGAAGATGTCTTCCTCAACCATAAAGAATTTCACTCCAGTCATGCTTGGCTAAATGCTTTGCTAGGGTTGTGATGTAGCCATAGCTTAGCACACTGGTTTGATTGTATTTAATTATTGGTGAACAATTTTTATCATGAATGATTGTGTAATTTATAGGGTTTTTAATTGAATTTTCAATAAGAATCGCTTTTAGAGTTTTAATTCAATTACAAATATTATTCTATCTTGTCTTAGATATTTTAATCTTGTAATTGAACAAAACTCATTCATTTCTTGTAGTTGTGAATGAGATGATTACATAATGGTATTTCTCTGAATATAATGTTAGAGATTTGATAGATTATGCCTAGAAAAGATAGACCATGCTACACCTTAAAGTAAAGTAGATAGGTAGATGGTTTATGCCAATCGAAAAGATAGACCATGCTTAGCTTTAAATTATATTATTTTCTAGCTGAATTAATATGTGCTTGTAGCCATGATTAATTCCATGTGCATGTTATATGATATATCTCCAATAAATTGATGCAATTGATTGGTAGTGCGACGTTAGTGGTGAAATCATACCCCTAGTCCTCTCTTTCTATTTTCTACATCCTATTTAATCATTGTTCTTTAGTTTATTTTATTTTTTGATTTAGTTAATTTAGA